CTTCATCATCATCTTCTTCAGTTTCAATATTATCATAAAAAATATGAACCCTTGACTATAATTCTGCTATATCTTTTTTTTTTGCAACTTTTTTACTCTTTTCAGCTTCAATGTACTCCAAAATTTCTTTCTTTACAAGATCTGGGACTTTCTTACATGGGACGACATCACCTCTAATACCGGCAAGATGTTTTTTAAATCTATTTATGCCGGCATTAGAAACATGTCCACAGAAATTGCACATAATTTTATTTATGTCATTCTTATCCAGGTTAGCACAATATTTCCATCCCGAATCTCCAGCCCTAGTAGATCTCGCAGAAGACATCTCAAATTGAAAAAATAAATCTCAAATAAAGATTATAGACTGACCTTTTTTACCCAATCTCTGATCTTCGATGTTGGCTATCTTAGTCGAGCTACGAATCAACTTAAAAGTCTTCTAATACCACCAATAGCACCTTAAAAATAATTTCAATTAGAAGAACAAACTTTTTCAATCCATAAGAAATATTTTCGATTCTCAGCAATTGCTTTAGATTCTCATAAATAAGTTTAAGATTGAGGGTTTCTTGTTTTTTTTTTCAGTTTGGGGTTAAAAATAAACCCCTAAACTTATTTTATACAAACTTGGGGGTCAAAATGACCCCCTTTGCCCTTTTGGGCGAAGTTAAAAAAAAAATCGCAAATTGTGCTGGGCGCCTGCCCAGGTACAGCCGTTCGTGTTGGGGCGCTCAAGTCTAGGCCTACGGAAAAATGTTTTTGGGTGCCTAGGCGCCGGGCGGTCCGTTTTTTTAAACATTGCTTTTAAGAGTGTATTGGTTGGGATACTCAAACTCAACTTCCACTAATGGCAGTGGGCTAGGAGGTGTTGCCCACTTTGATAAAACACACATTTCTTTTGGAGCAAGGTTAGCCTTGAACATCACTTCCCATGGAAGCATGGACAATAAATTTTGGCCTAAGAGTACTTATACAACTACGAAAAATATAATGTACTATGTACAAAGTGCAGTGGTAGGTTAACCTAACATCCATCTTCCATAACTCACATCCACTGTTCAGACTTATCCTTGAGTTTTGGAGTTAATGTATTGTCCTTTTTTAAAGCCACTTGTATTTTTAAGGGGGATGATTTATTTCATAAAATCTTCCAATGGTATGAGTATCAATAGAATACTTAGACCGAACATCCATGGTGAATGTTGATCCAAAGATGGTGGTTGATGAGTTCTTGCCTACTTTTATAGCTTACTAATTTTTCACTAAAAAAGTGAATTCCACTGCTCATGAAAATGTGAACAATGAATGTTGAGTTAGTGTATCTGAATATTCATGAAACATAATATGTGGTACTGTCTTAGTGAACTCCATTGCTTAAAGTCCAAATATAGAGAATGGATGTTGGGCATGGATACCCAATAAGATACTCACTACTAATTATAGTATCTGATCTTGACAAACTAGCCCCAAAAAAATTACATGAAGGTTAATTGATATGAGTTATGAATAAATAAAATCTTCAATCAAACTGGTGGGTAATCAATTGATATTGGTTGTTGATAAATGAATTTCACCTCTGTCTCTATGTGTTTCTCTCTATCGTTATGTCACTTTGTTAAATGTGATTAGTTTTTTGGGTCATCAAAGCTGTGCTATTGGACGTTCCTAAATGAATTATTACCAGTGGTAAGATTCTTTTTTCTCTCCCCATTTGCCACTCAATTATTCTTCACATAATCTAACGAATATACTTTGCGGAGAGAGCACATGGAATTCTTTTTTGCAAGTAACTTCCTTTCTCTGTACATAGAAAAAGTAATGTGCTATTGAGGATTCGGGCGTTTCCAAATCACTTGTTAACTATATAGTAGGAATGGGCTCAAGGCTATGTGGTCAGAATGGCAAGCCGCCAAAGTGTGATGCCTTGAGTTCTATTCCTATCACGGGTAAGGGAACCCTTCTGCACTGAATTACCCCCCCCAAAAAAAATGCTAACTATATACTTTAGTTTTTCTTTAATGGTTTTGATGGTGATGGGTTTCACCCTGAAATACCAACTTTATTAAAAGGACTCTTTTTTTTTTTGTTAATGTGATTAAGATAGTTGTTTTTGGGTGGATTCTTTAGAGTTTCTGTTTGTTGGCTAGTTTTTTTATTTTAATTTGTTTTTACATTATTCTTATAATATAATGTTATAGGGTTTCACTATAGTGTTCTTATTTGTACTTGGACTTAGAAAAGTTCAATTTTATGAGTTGTTTTTTGGGATATTTGAACTTGCAACAGCCTTTTTTTTTCATTTTGGGGTAATTTAACAAGGAAGAGGTCTCCTACCTGTGGTCGGAATGGAACTCAAAACGTTACATTGTGGTGCCCCACTACATTGACCACCTAGCCTTGAGCCCATTCCTAAAGTGCACTTTTTTGTTTTTAGGTAGTTCAGTGGGGAGGACCCCATACCTGTGGTGGGAATGAACTCAAGGCATCACATTATGGCACCATGCCATCGAACCGCTTAGGCTTGAGCCCATTCCTAACTTGCAACAGCTTTTGTCTTCATAGGAAGCTCCCTAAATTTGTTACGAATTAATATTCCATGCTTGTGTTTAATGAACCTATAAGATGAAGTATAGAAGACTGTTTTTTTAAAAACAAAACGAAATAAGATATGAACCAAAACTAAAGCCATACCTATTTGAGATTTTATACTTTTTACAATTGACTCTTGTAATTATATTCGATTCCCTTTCATTCTTATTTCTCAAAGATATTAACAGGAAATGTATTTAATGTCCTTTGCTCTAGGGAATATTTTGAACAATTTGTATATTTTAAGTAAGGGTGAGGTTTTTATATGGCTGCCTCTTTATACTGTAGAAGTAAGGCACACCTCTAAAAGTTTCTTAGAGATGTCATTTTTGGTGTTGTAGGCCTTATGATAGATTGAAAATCTACTTTCATCCCTAGCTATAATTTCAAAATTGATACAGATCGAGCAGATCAATAAACACTTGAAAATAGACGGTCCTTATAACTTGTTACAGGACGCACTAGTTTTTTGACTTGGAATTCTTTTTTCTTTTATGTCCATACATCTTGTGGTTGAGATGATCAATTGGAGGGTTCTTTAACGCCGGAATACTTTCTTCTTTAGGATTTTTGAAGTTCACCTTACTTCAGTAGTACAAGGCTGCAACCTTTTATACGTCTAGATATGTTGTTTTCATCATGATGTTGTGTATATTAGTAGTGTCCAAAAGGTACAATCTTTTGTATATTAGTTTTCATTCATCATTCCTTTCATGAGGACAAGGTAATTGTAAAGCCCCATATAATAAATTGAGAAAGTCATTATCTCCTTCATAAATTGTTTAATCTATCATCTTAGGATCATCTTCTTTTAGAAAATTAGTTTGGTGATTGGATATCCACATTTGAAAAGATTGTGATGCTTAGTTAATATTGTGAAACTTTTATTGATAATAGGTATTTGGGCCTTGTCATCTATGATTTTGTGCATGCCTTATAAATCTACAACTAGCCTAGCCAGAATCTGCTGTAGAAGTAGGAAATAGGAAGAAGGGATGCAGATGCTCTTGGATTAGTTTATATTTTTAGTTACTTATAGGCATGACTAATGATAATAAATTTGGAAGCTGATTTCCCTAAACCAAATCCAATGGGCAGATGACTCAACCTCAGTTTAGGAAATATGACATTGCATCATACTTTGCTTTAGTCCTGGAATTGAGGATGGTTTGTTGTTTCTTATACTTGTAGGACATAAATAGCTCCTTGGAAACCCTAGGCAACTAAGCAGCTAAAGTTGTCAAGTGTAATCTGCTTGTGTGTAATGCGCATTTGCATCCAGTGGGTTATGGGTTGGTTTCTTGGTAGGATCGACTTTTGCCCTATGTATGAGTGTCTTGCGGAGTTTACATTTTGCATTGCATTTCTGCAACACTTAGTTCAAAAACATGATAATCACAAGATGGAACATAACCAGGAGAAGCGGGAGTAATTCTACACTACATAGGAGGAGGATTTTTGGGGTTCTGCCGTGTGGAGAGAGGGGGCAGAGGGCTCTGTCAGTACATCCTTTTGTCTTCCCTGGTAAATTCAATGTAAGGGTGAAATAATATATGGATTATGTGGCACTAAGGAATTTTGTATTACATGGAACTTGTGACTCTTCAATTGGTTCACAAAATATGACAACATTGATGCTAGGATGCGAGCAAGGAATAATGATTGATGGAGTGTAAATGGTACCGTGCTTCAATCACAGAACATGATAAGAAACATCGGGATATTCATAAAGGAATAACATGAATAAAGGGATTTTTTTAATTTATTAAAAAAAAATCCTTTTTTTTCTTTATCATATCATTATAACAAAATCACATCTCAAAAGAACAAAAATTACTATGAAACGGTGCCATTTAAACATGCCAAAATGGTACAAACATGGCCGATGACTCAAGCTTGAACAATCATGGTGTGAGCTCTTGAAACAACTCTAAAAGACATGAGAAGTTCACTTTTAACTAAAGTACAATTAACTTGTCATAGTATAAATTTCATTTAATTGCATTCTTTGTAGTATATTGAAACAAACAAATGAGAGTCTTGTCTTACATTTGTTTCTTATTGTTGTATTGTATATTTGTTGTATGACACTCATCATAAAGAACATGCTGTTGTTTTTTTTCATTCTATGATTGTCTATAATATCATAGGTATGTTTTACTTGCTGTGTGTCCTAATTGTAAGAGCTAAGATACCTGTAACTTCTTTCATGCTGAGGAAGATTATTCCTTAACCACTGAAGAGTCTCTCATCTTAAACCTCCTAATGTCTTACCTTATTCCCCTTTTTTTGTGCTGTCCTCAACGAGGCAATATAAAATTTTAATTTGATATTTGCTTCGTATCTTGCTTTTATCAACTTTGGGTGGTGATTATGGCAATTTAATAAATTAAACATATATTTTCTAGTGATTTCAATGCAAACGGTGATTATTCCAAACAAGTGCAATGAAAGGCTGGTTGGACTGTTGCATGAGGCTGAGTCGAGGCCAATTATTGTCTTGTGCCATGGATTTCGATCATCAAAGGTGACCACTAGATAATGATTTTTGTCTAGCTTTTATTTCCATTATGTTAGTAATAAAATGACACTTTTTTGTCTAGTCTTTATTTCTGTTATATTAGTAATAAAATAACGTTCTTTGGTATCATTTAGATTACTTCTTTTCTTGTCTTTGAACTGAAAGAATTCCATCATCTTTGTATTTATTAGGTAAAGCGATCTCTTTTTGACTTGTAAAATTTACTGACCTATGAATACCACATACCATATGCTTTTTATATAGTGATGGAAGAAAAGGATCAAGTGAAGGAAAACAAGGGAAACCTGCTATTGAAAACAGTAAAAGGGGCTTAAAAGCCAAGTTCCATAGCCACACCTTTGGATAATCTAGGAAAACCTAAGGATAGAACTCACCCTCCCCCATAAATCATAACCTATTTAATGTCTAAGCCATAGGTTGCCCGAATCTCCTTGCCGAGGTTGCCATTCTGGTTCGGAATCCCGATTTGGTGATTCCGACAAGGGATCTTCATAGAAACTGTTTCCTAGAACTTACGAATCTAGACTCCATAAGTTAGGAAACTTGTTTCATACCTTTTCAGGAATCTTGTTTCATTTGATCCCATTATTTGTGGGATCGCGGCCCCAAATTTTTCTAATCTCTATTTTAGCATTTATTAAATCTTGATTTCACGTCCACACGCGATGAATCTTGATTCGTTATGATTTTGAATCTAGAATCTACAACATAAAATACCTCGGTTCGTAGGAGCATGGAACTATGATTCAATCGACATAGAATTTTGCTTCGACCTCCATAAGATACCTGTTTGATGTCAAAATCTCTCTCTACTGACTTCTTGTTTTTAATTCATGCAATAATGTATCCATGTGTGTGCTTGATGTTTTGATCGAATTTATCCCCTAGCACAATGGCGTAATGTGAATGCAAGCAAATAAAAATAAAAATAAAATAAAATAAAAATAATAATAAAGAAACAATACGAAGTACATACATAATGTCCACTTTTTTGATTGGTTACCACTTTTTAAAGGTATTTGGAATAGAGATCTTTATTTGATTCAAATGCTTCTAAGAGTGTTAGGAATGCTCGAATCACATTTGTAATAGTGCTAGGATGGACTACCTTATCTTTAAAGTATAATTGGTAACTACAACACATACAATAAATACCATGGCACAGAGAAAATCCTATTTTGTTTGTATAATAATGAAATCAAGATCATAATTTAGAAATACATAGGATAACATTTGTATATTTTGTAGATAATTTCCCTACTGGACTACTTGACCCTAAGTTCAATAATCAATACATTGACTTCAAATCTGAGGAACCCTTCTACAAGTCTAATAAGAGACATTTGATATCGATTGCTTAAATTGATTCTAAGTTGATAAGCGCGTGATGCCGTTGATATAGGATACTTGTTTCTATTGGGCATTGTACTTGACTCTATAGAGTTACGAATCTCGATTGCCAGTTGGTATCAATCTGGATTCTATAAACTAATATGAATCCCGATTCCAAATTGGCAGGAGTCTCGCTTCCACATACGTCGGAAACTCGATTCTAAATATGTTGGAATCTTGATTATTCCAAACTGGTGCTTGGTTCCACATACGTTGGTAACCCGATTCCTAAGATTTCAGAATCTCGATTCCTTGGCGATTTCAAGGAGGTAGGAATCTCAATTCCAAGGGTATCATAATCTTGATTCCATATGTGGCTGAATATTGATTCCATTTTGGTCAATTCTCGATTATCAAAAAATAGGAATCTTGCTCCCCGAGATTCCCATTGTACGGATGTCAATTCTGAAAACAAGAATCTTCTAGCCGGCAGGATTTCGTGATTTGATTCCTAAAATGATTCGGGTTCCCAGGCATTTCCAAAGCACAATGCAGACCATCTATTACAATCGTTAAATCACGACGATAAACACATAATAAAAAAGCAAGAAAAGACAATCTTGTCCAAAATGCCCTAAATGATGAAACTACCCTTGAACTTGTGTTTCATGCTTTTAAGGCCATTTTTGGGCCTCTAGAGTCATTTTATTTGCCAAAATCGCTTTCCGCTATCAGTGCAATTGGTTGGTTGTAGGTCTCAGAAAGAGGATTTAGTTGAGTATCTATAAGCCCAATTTTGAGCTAGGAGCAAAATGTTAGGCAATTTCAAAGGCACATTGCTCACAAGTCGACCACATCAATCCCCCTTGATTAGGGAGGACTTGCCCTCAGGTCTGCTCGGCCATGAACTTCCTCCATGCTTCCTCATCGATCCACCTTAGGTCCTATTCTGAGCTCCAAGAGTTCTCTGACTTAAGCTTACCCTTCCATTGAACAAGGTATTAGTTATATGAACCACACCGAGTGGTGATGGTCAGAATATCCAAAATCCCATGAATGGCTTGGGCAGCTAGGTTTCCCATTTCGGTTTGCCCATGGTAGCACATGCTCCATGATACCATTAAAGGTCAACAACATTGGAAACAAGTTGTATGTTATACTTGTTTGAAAGCTCGGTTTTGTAAGCATTGCTGCGTATTCTTTGTAGCACTCGACAAGGACCAATATGCTTGTACTTCAGCTTATGATAGTTGCCAACCAAAAAGTGCAGGTACACCATTACCAAATCTCCTTTGCATAGGTCACTTGTAGCTAGTGTTGGTCAGTGTTGTCTTTATAATTAACATAGGTCACGTGTAGCTAGTGTTGGTCAGTGTTGTCTTTATAATTAACATAGGTCACGTGTAGGTTCTTCGCATCTGCTTATGGATGTCTTGAGCTTGGCCAGAGCTTCTGCATTATCCCTAGCTCATTCTTTCTCAGGAAGGGGAACTAGGTTGAGCACATTTCTCAGCTGCTGACCATACATGACCTTCAAAGGGGACCACCTTGTCGACCTATTGAAATTTCTGTTGTCGGCGAACTCGGCTTGCATTAGGACTTAATCCCATTGGTTGGGCTTGTCCTCAATGACACTCCGAAGGAGATTTCTCAGGCTTTGGTTGGCCACCTCGGTTTGGCCATCTGTTGGTGGTAAGCACTGTTGTACTAAAGCTTGTTGCCCAGCATCCTGCACAGAGTGCGCCAAAAGTGACTCACAAAGCATGTATCCCTTTCAAAGGTGATGGTTTGGGGAGCTTCATGGAGGCGAACCACTTCCTCAAGGAATATGTCAGCCACATGGGTTGTGTTGAGGAATAGTATTGCTGCATGGGATGAAGTGCGCCATCTTTGCAAACCAGTCCACCATGACAGCAACTAAACCTCTAGTTGTGTGAGGGAGTCCCATATTCCCACACAAAATCCATGCTAATGATTGTCAAAGGGCTGGAAGGGATGGACAGAGGGGTCCATAAGTAGGTGTTTTGGGCTTGATCTTTGGTCAGCTTGCAAGTTTGACACCTCTTTGCGAACCAGCTAACATTTTGTTTTGAGTCTAGGCCAATAATACTTCTCTTCCACGGCTATAATTGTCTTATCTCGCCTTAAAGTGCCCAGTGAGTCCACCTTCATGCATTCTGGCAATGATCTTGGCACAAAGTGATACCTTAGGGATGCATAGTTTACTCCTTTGGAGAAGGAATCCATCCTGCCATACGAAGTTAGAGGTATATGTGTTGTGTCACTCATGGCGTGTGCAAGATCGGCCATACTGCCATGAGTGACTCAACAAAATGTGACATACATATGTAACACCAAACAAACTCCTTATAGGACTTCCCAACGGTAAAATTGACCAAACAATAATGGTTAACAGAGGTTTTGTTACCTTACTTAAACTAGGGGATTTTTTAGGGCTAAGGGTGTTGTTCACACTTCGATTTGAGCTTGTCCGCCATCTCCTACGACACCACATTCTGATTGATGATGAGGGCGCGAACTTTGCCTTTTGAGACACATTTGGTGCGAAAGATATTTATTTGCAACCATGACTCTTCAACTACCTTTGGGACAGACAATATTGTCTAATCATGAGCAACTCTCCCTCATCTGGGTACAACTCTGTTGCTTCTTTTGGTACATCAATAGGCTGCCCCATCATAGACATGCTCCTTTTCAATATCCCCCTCGTACTCCTCGTCTGCCTCTCGAAGGTGTGTAACAACTTGCCTCTTGGGGCACTTGAAAGAGAAGTTGCCCTATTCAACACATTTGGAACACCTAATGCTCTGATCTCGAGCCTGGAAAGGCTTGTTCACGGCCAGTTTTTCCTCAATTGTCACCCGAATACTGGGTCAAAAATTAGGGTCATCTGGCTCCTACTGTCTTAAATTAGTGCAAAAGCCATTGGGGATCGAGGAGGACCCTCAGTTAGAGAAGAGAACAACAGTTCTCCTCTTCAACTTTGCTTCAGGTTGTAAGGCAAATTGATACGCCTCATAAATATTGGTTGCCCTGTGTAGGTTGAGTTCATCTTGAATCTAGGGTTTCAAGCCACTGACATAGAGGGATATAAGTTGATCATTGTTTGAATGAATTTCATTTTGTCTCATCAACAGATAAAACTCCTTTGTGTATTCTTGCACACTCTTCTCCTTCCGGCTCAAGTGGTGGAACTTTGGTATGGATCTTGGGTGTAAACGACGGGGGCAAACTCCTTCAAACATGTCATTTTCCTCTAACTCATGATTTTCTCCACAAGCGATTGGCCTGTAGTTGCTGCCTTCAGATGATGGCACGCCCCGACATCTGGGTGGCTACTAACATCACCTTCTACTAACATCACTTTCTTATGCTCGGATAGCTCCTTCCATGCAAAAAATGTCTCAACACTGGCAAGCTAATCTAAGAAGTCATGTAGTTATAACGACTAGAGAGCTCAGGCACATCTACTGGATGCCTCTATCCAATCCTTCCAAGGCATGTATTAGATGCTCCCCAAGGGGTACGTTCGAGGTCCTTCCCCTGGTTAGTAAGTGGAGCTTCATCCCTCAGTTGTGGAAGGGTTCTCTTCTTCAAGCTCTGATTAGTCACTCTCATGGAATGCTCGAAAAATCAGATGCACCCACCTAGGCAGGCGCCTAGGAACAAGGATAGAGTAACCCAAAGCCCTTGAAAATACAAAATTAAATAATTACGGAGACACAAACACCATCAAATTGCAACAAAACTCAAATGTCATGTTACATTTACATAAACTAATTACGCAACCATCAAAAGTCTTAAACAATAATATGTCATTAGTCATCACCACTCCGAATAACTTAGAACGACATTCTACTTCAAATGGCAATTCTATGTCATCACCACTCTGCATAGAACTTGATGATGATGCCATGCCATTATCATCAGAGTCATCTCAACCTCCTCAGCATATTGAGCATCATCCCTCGTCTCTTCTGGATTTGCTTCATCCTCTGCATTCTCCTGTCTCAATCCCATCAACCTCTTCCCCTTCTCCTTTGCTTTCCCACTTCCCTTTGGCTCAGAGATTGAGATCAAGTGGATGCATGAGGCTCAATGGTGTCCCAACAGCCTCACGAACTTGGCCCTAGGTCAAGCCTTCTCTAGGGAATACCTCATCATCCCTAGCATAACTAGCCAATTACTAGTATCATTCATGTCATCAACTTCAATAGCCTCCCTTTCTTTGTGCTCCAGCTTCTGATGGCACTCTTGTAGCTTTTGCTTATACTGAATGAAGACAAGTTCATTTAGATAAATGTCGAATGAACAATTAAAATTTAGAGAAACATAATATAGGTTAGGCTAATGAACTAACTACCTTCTAAGTAAATAAAATTACCATTTCAAATGTGCTGAAGTTACGTTCACATCCAGACGAGCTGCAAGTCAGATTCAATATATGCATGGCCATTTGTCGCAAATGTGGGGTGCTTACCCGTGGCTTGTCCACCATGCAACTATTTCATATGTAGTCGAAGTATATAAGGTATTTGTGAAATTGAAATTTAATACTCAAATCATGAAACCATAAAGAAGCTAAACTCACTAGGAGCGATCTTGCTCCTCTGCCTTATTGCCAACTCCTTTCCAAGAGATCTAATAAAGAACCTATACTTATCTAAATCCATTGTGACCTTGCCTTGGACTTCAGGATCGGGGTTGAGTTTGAGATTGCTTTGGTTGATTGCTTCCATGAACTCCTTGCTATGTATCTTATGTTAAGTATAAAAGTAGCAAGGTTAAGGTGGTACCTTGCTAAGTGTAAGGGCCTCCCAAGCTGGTAATTCCATTTATTTTCTTGAATTTTCAAAAATTCTCCTTATTTAGCTTCATCATTGCCAAAATTTTTCTTAATCTCTTCTTTGGCATCCTCCATAGCTTTGTAAATGTGACCCATCGTGGGTTTCTTCTCAGCATGAACCATCTTGAGTACCTTTATTGATAGCCGAAAAACATATAAGGCATACTGAACCTTGATCCAAAATCGTGAGTCCTTGACAATCTCCATGACTACTTTACCCTTCTGATTTCTTAGCCCACTTGGACTTGTTATAATCCTTAGACACAAACATTAACCTAAGCTTTTCCTATTGCTTATATAAAGATTGCACGACAAGTACGAGGTGGCAAATCTAGTCACCCCAGCTGTCACCAAGTCTCTACCCCCCAATGAACTTCTTAATAATGGCTAAGACTTGGCCAACATAAATTTTCCTAAGTTACAAACTTACAATGACATCACATAACGTGTATGTATTCAGAATAATCAAAACAAGTAATACAAAGCATAATATAATATTCATGTTCTTGCCTGAGTGTGACTGTATATATAGAGTATAGATTGTGATGGTCTTGGCTTTTTTGATGGTTGTCTTCATCAACTTCTTCTTACTAATCGCCTCGAGCAAGATGCAGTGTGCTGTGCAAGGTGACTAAAAAATATGTGGTCTTTTAGCCATCAATAATTTAGCTGCCGCCAGATTGGCTGAGCATATATCGGTCACTTCTTGGACCACTTTGTTCTCAGCCATCTCCTCTATGCACTGGTCCATTAAGTCACAAATGAAGGTCACATCATGGGACTTGTCGGAAGCATCAATATACCTTAAGAACATTGTCCCTAATGGACAATTCACCATCAAATTCATAATGCTTTTATTTCTCTTATCACTCCAACCATGATAATTGTGCAACTGTATATCCCCCATTCATTTGTTTGGGTCTTCAAAAAGTTATTAGTAAGCTCAACTTCTTTTCTAGGCAATGGCTCCTTTAGGTCATAAGCAATTGGGGCCCTAAACCTTGTCCCAAATTGACAAACTGCTTCCAACATAGTCTGGACTTTGAATTTTGAAAGCTTTTCAAGTTAGCAGCATTAAAAGAAATGCATGCAAATAGAACTATCTGGCCACATATTGTGCTACCTTTTCTTTATCCTCTTTCTTTGTGTGGTTCTCCAGACTTGTTTGCCCCCTTTCACATGATAAAATCTCAGGATCGGGGGGGGGGGGGGGGGGTTGTGTGTGTGTGTGCAGGGGAGAGTAAGAATCTATAGGCACCCTTCTTTGAGGCCCCTTATGCATGGCTGGCCTAATAGAAGATCTAACCTCAAAGTATGTATCCTCTTTTTTCCAAACTTTAAAAATGTCTACACTTTTGACAATTTCTTCATGTCTTCTCCTCACCTCCTCTTTCTTGTGTTTAACCCCCTCCATGTGCTCTAACATCTCTCTCCCTACCTCTGCTAGCACTTGAGTGCTTGGGACCACATCCCCTCTAATGCCAGCTAAATGTTTGTTTAATCTGTTAATACCCATATTATAAGATTTCTTGCAAAACTTAGATTCCACCCTATTCTTGTCTAGGAGATTTGAACAAGATTCGTATTTCCAACCCGGATAACTTTGCTTACTTGATCTAGTTGAAGGCATTGTCATGACTTACGATATGCGACTTACAGCACAACTCACAGACTCACAGTCATTCACAAGGTGTCACCTACTCAATATACCTGAAAAGTACACAAGATGAAAGTACTAAGAAAAAAAAACTAAGAAAAAATTCAAGCTTTAAATGAAGACTATGAAGTAAACAAAACAAACTAGAAAGGAACACTAAAAATATGTGGAAAGGAACTGGAAACCAATCAAAAATAAACTTCATAATATTTGATAACCAAATGAAATAAAAAAATTATGTAATATTTGGTTTTCGAATCTAACAAAAATCACATAATATGATATCAATTTTAAAAAATAATCACATAATATCAGATAACATATGATGATCATGGCATTATAATCATATTAATATCCATAAGATTTGGTTTTGCAATCTAAATATGCACCAAATATAAATGTAGTTCAAAGTTTCAAACTATTCACTTGATATAAGCCCAAATCATCATGTTCAGAAAAAAAAAATATATCCAAATCATTAAATACTCAGAAAATATTCTATCTATGAACATGTAAAAATATCCCTACAAAAGAAAACAAGAAGACATAACATGCATTGCACTAAGCATTTCAAAATGAATTCATTATAGGTCCAAAGTCCAAACCAGGGAATATTCACAAAAGAATATCAAATGATTCAAATTATAATACATTATACAAAAATCCGAATACCATACCCTAATTCAAGTATTGTAATGCACTAACCTTTTCATAATGAGACCAATATCAGCCCAAAGCGGTGATCTTTGGTCACCAAGGCCTCATATGCGACCACTTCAAGCTCCAAAAAGTATCACGAAGTATTTCTTTTGATTTCGTAAGAAATCGAAAAAGTTGAATATTTTTTTTTTTCGATCTTGAGAACAATATTAAATGCTAAGGTATTTTAGATTTTTTCTCTCGCTAACATTCACAAGAGGAGTTCTCTCTAACATAGACAAGAGCAGTTCTGGAGAACGAGACTGCTCCCCAAAACTCTTTCCCCCCTTGGGTGATGGCCATTTTCAGCCCTCGGTCTCCCTTTATCGATGTGCTACCTAGGCGGCACATATTTTCAGCCAGGAATAGCTCAAAATATTTGGAAATCACCAAAAATATTAAGTAATTAAGTAATATTATACTTAATACAAGATATGTAGCAAACAATGAACAAAATAATATTATCCAAAATATATTAATTTTAGATAAAGTTATTTGCCATAAAAAAAGGGCAATAAGTATATGGGTTTACTGTTAGTTCTTAGTATTTAAAATAATCATTAGTGGATATTATTTCTAGAGTAGTGGCCTTTAGTATCATTGTACAAATATTTTAGTTTGATTCAAAAAATGTTCTCACTGAATGAAATAAATTTAAATATGACTATCTATAATAAATATACTTTTGATGTCATTGGAAATGTATCACCTTCTAGGCATCATTTTGCCTATTATGTTCTTTATGTTCATGAACCTTTTCAGTTTGATCAACATGTATATGCTAAGTTCTTTCAACTGTCTGCTACCTTACATCTTTCAGAACTTGAAAAAGGTGGCCTCTTGTGAAATATGTCACTCAATGCCTGCCATCTTTGGCAGGCACATATTGTTTAAGTGGAGATTATTGAATCCTCTATGGATGTTTGACATGCAGTTTGGTTTCTTCATGTTTTTTTAATTATGCTGCTGCTGTTCAATTTGTTTGGTGATTTTTCAGTTCTTATCATCCTGCCACTGCAGGGGTCCTTTCTTTTTTGGGATGGTGGGCTGATTACTCTTTTTACTGGAGTAGCTGTTAGTTCATTTTTTTAATATGTCATAGTTTAAGCTTGGATCTTGGAAAATTTCCTTTATCAGGATGACAGTACCATCAAGGCCCTCACAACAGCTTTAACTAGAGAAGGAATCAGTGCATTTCGCTTTGATTTCTCAGGAAACGGGTAAACTACATTTTCTTTCACTGGGTATTGTAAATATTTCATTTATTGTCTTTGGATGTCTATGTTCCTTTAGTAATGCATGTCGTATCTTATGATTATGTCTTGGTGTTAAAAAGAAAGTTCTCATGTGGACTATGAGAACCGTTCTTGATGGCTTGCAAAAAATAAAACGGGTTATCTTAATGTTCAAATATTCTATATTTTAATAGAAACAGCAGGCAGTAAAATGAACAGACCGTATTATTTATTATATGCGGATGAGGTGTGTGTGTGTGTGTGTGTGTTTGTGTGTGTGTGTGAGAGAGAGAGATTTCACTAACACTATTATGTTATGGAAATTTTTTCATGTTAACGATGGGCAGCGTGTGGCTACCAATGGTTTGGCAATTTGGTTAAGCATAGTTGAAAAATACTGATTTGGTTCCACTTGTTGGTTGATGAAATAGTCTACTTATGATCTCTTCTCTGGCCTGCCCTCTATTCCAACTTCTCTATCTCTCTCTGCATTGTGTTTGTCTGTTCTAGTTGGAACAACCAGATGAAACCGTTTTCTTTGGCTAAAGTATTGTTGTCGCTCAAGAGAAAACAATGTTAAAAAAACTCCACTTTGGCCTGGGACTTGGTCCCTGCCCAAGTCAAGTAACTTGGGACGAGTGTAAATGGAGGTGCTGAGTCCTGCATGAGCCCAAAAAGGGCTAAAGAATTGCAAATAAACCTAGAAAATTGTAAAAAATAATAAAATTATTAAAAAAAAGAGTTATAAACATCATTAAAAGACTAAGTGATATGGAAAAAAGTACATAGAAGATGGATATTAAAAAAATAATTTTTAGCTTGAAAAATTCAAAAAAATCCAAAAAGGGGAAAAATAGAAAATTAATGCACAAAATAAGAAAATTCACAAAGCATCATTAATAACATACATTTTAATTCATCGATAACTATCTTCCTGAGCAATTAGTCAGGAAGAAAAAACATGCCTGAGTGAGGAAAGATCAACATATTCAACCTTGGAATAACTTGGTAGACTCTCAACCTAGGAATAATTTGGAAACCTATCCATCATGGGGTAGATTTGTTCATTGTCAACCTCGTTTCCCATTTTTAATGTTTTTTGAGGACATATTTATAACTTTTTTAGCCTTTGTTTTCGGCTATATACAGTTTCTAAGATTGTCCACAAGGCAAGCATACCATTCATTGTTTGGAGCATACCACTTCAACCCCCAGGGGATGGACATGCTCCGAAACTAGTTTTTCATGCTCCATGAGTGGATCTACCTTGGGGATGCGATCCCTCTTTTATGGGATTGTGATCCCATGGGTCATGGGTTGAGAGAGAGAGAGAGAGAGGGAGGGAGTTGGTGAGGAGAAGTTCGCTCAAAGGCAGAGGGGACATAGTCCATTAATAGTTAACCATAGAATTTCCGTTAGTAAAAGGGATGCTGTAAAAGGTGGGAATATATCTGAAAACCTCAGTATTTGTGTCTGTGCACGTGCGCACTTGCATGATATTGAGAGATGGATTATTTAACCTTAAAGCATCAGAAGAATCACTAAAATTTTGCTTTTAAAGAGAAAACTTCCTCAAGGGAGCCAAAGTCTTCTAGTTCTCTGTCTATTATAAAAATAAATCTCCTGTGCATATCCCATGATAAATTAATTGGAATGGATTGTGGAAAACAGATTATCAATCCCGTAAATGGGGCTTTGAGCCATAGATCATGGATTAGGTGTTGGCCAATATGCTTCTTAGCATGGACTATGGTCTGTGGTTCATATATTCTAGATTGTAAGTGTAACAATATTCTCCGTAGGTTTACTTTTGAAGAAAGCCTAGGGTCTTCAATATATAAGATTTGTGCTACAGAGAAAAATATGATGGCCAGTCCAACAATGATCGTCCTTTGCATATGGATGTTCAGTTGATACAAAAGCTTGATTAGGATCCTTTGTAGTCAATTCTTGACCTCATCTAGCTTCTACATCCTCTCTCCAGCAGCTCTCAGTCATTGAGGATGAGAGCATCTGGGAACTAAGGTGACTTTATATAGAGTTGAACTTTGGAGGAGGAGGAGATTGGCCTTGATTAATTAGAAAAGAACCCCAAATAGATAACTAAAAGTTAGCAGACTTGCAAAAGCTGCTACTCATGGAAATTTGGGAAGAATTATACAGTAGTGCAATGTCTTTAAACTTTTAAGAAATCTGGAAAGTGTATGTTCAATATATGATAATAAGACTCTCAACCACTCTATAAAGCATGAAAAAAATAATTAAAAATTGGATAAATGACCGAACATTTATTTTTATTTTTTTAATAAAAAGCAGAAGCAGACTGCTTTGTTTGAAAGCTGGAAAATAAAAATAATAGAATATCTAAAAATCCTAATTATGTACACCAAAGTAACACTTTGATTTATGACAGTTTTGTACTCATAGCTCTGGGAATTTAGGTGCCATGTCAAAGGATTTTCAAACTTCTGAGTCAAAATATATTTGTTTCAATTATTGCTTTTTTCACATTATTGCATGCTCGCAAAAACAGTCATGGTTGTTACAGAATTGCTAGGTGTGCCTTTTGTTTGCCTGGGTAGAGATCAATCAAACTGAGGTCAAGGACATTTCTTTTCCAGGGAAAGTGAAGGATCATTTCAATATGGAAATTACTGGAAAGAGGTGGAGGATTTGCGTTCTGTGGTTGAATACTTTTCTGGGGCTCAACGTAAAACTAGAGCTATTATTGGGCACAGTAAAGGTGACCTCCAGTTGTTTAACGGGAACATTGTTGGTATGTGTAAGGTTTGACATATTAGTAAGTTAGAAACCATGTGATGCATATGTCAGTTATGGGTGCTTCGGGTTGCATTTGTATCTCATCACTTACGTTTGAGTGAGCATCCTGTGATGTCAGTAAGAAGTTCATTGGACAAGTTTTTGCAAAGGGAACTATACCATGAATCCAGCGGAAGTCATACTTCAGCGGGTCATTAGTCAAAGTCCTGATGGATAGTGATGCTGAGCCAGAGAGTGGGAACATCATAGAGGTCGTATCTTAATCTGGTCGTCGCACTTTTACTCCATCACCATATATTGTGGGAACAGCATGGGGGGTCATGTCTGAATATGTTGCAATGGTATTAGCTGTCGGTAGTGGTGGTGGCTAGGCAGCGGTTGTGGCAGCTGGGTGCTCATTGAGTGATGGTGGCGCCTACTAGGCAGTGATGGTGGTAGCAGTGGTGGAGGTGTTGAGGTACTGGTGGCAATTGAGTTGGTGTTCTTGTGGAGTGTATTGGTGTTGGAGTGACTTATAGCAGTTGTGGTGGTGGCGAGGTGGTGGCAATGGTGTGGTGGTTCAGTGTTTGAAAAACAGGAACCATGGTTCAACTTGGTCGCTTGAAAATCTTAGTTGGTTATTTGATTCGGGGAGATCACTAAAATTGACCTTAGAAAATGGTGAAAATTTTGATAAAATAGATTGTTTTTTATTTATCGAAAAACAAATGCATTATATAGTATGCATTTGCGACAACTTGCCAATTTGTCCTGACTTGGGCTTCCACAGCACCTCAATTGAAGCTTTTTCTGGACTCTCATTCTTTGTAGATCCAGCTTTGGGGCATAAAAGTGGCCAACACAATTATATCCCATTTACAAGGCCAAAGAGTGAATGTTATATTCTGAAACTCTAATTAAAAGACCATAGCCCTAAGTTTCAAGATCAAATCCTAACCTAAAGTGGCAATGTATTCCCTGAAAATCAAAACCTACATGGCTAAAATTTGAATTGTTTTGTCCTTGATCTCTGCTAAACAAACCATTAAACCCTGGATTTAAAGCTCAAAACCCAACTTGAAGAATGACAAGCATTCCTTGAAAATCAAAACTCACAAAGGAAAATTTTTTTCATTTTTCCTGATACTGTGACCAAGTAGATATCATTCTTAAATGCTAGGTTTCAAAGTGAAACCCATATCAAAACAAAAACCAAGGCAAGAGCAAAACAAATGTATCAATCATGTGAATTTGTGAAAAATTGTTGGAATCAAGATTTTTTGAAAGAAAAATGGATTAAAATTAGAGGGAAACCAATGAAATGGCATAAAAAGGGAAATTGTCCTTTATGCTGGAGTCAATGATGCAATACAGGAAAATCAGGCGATTTTTGAAAAATCGCCTGATTCATGAATTTTAGATGAAAATGCCTAGTTCACTACATTGAACTACGGACAATTTTTGTAAAGCAGGGTGCCTCACCAGTTTGTGGGCATCTGGAACTGGTGTTTGCTTGATTCTGAATCGGATTGGACAATTCCAACCTACTTGGTGATTTTTCGTTCACTGTGGAGTGGAAAGAGAGAGAACTTGGTTTATGTAAAACAACTTGGAGTGGTTTTGCAAAAAATTCAATTGGGAATTAACTCAAAATTGAAAATTGAACACGCAGTTAGTTACTTTATATCATACGAGACAAAAGTGGAAAAAACAAAATAGAACACAGATGTAAGTGCTTATATAACAATCACCCTTTTTCTCAGCCAAAGCCTAATTTAACATGTAACCCCCTCAAATCCCACCATTTTATAAGCTTTCAATTGTCTGGCAATCTTTATCATACCTCTATCTCCCTCTCAAATTCTCCTCTCTAAACCACCATCTGTGTGTGTGTTCTTCAAGAACACTGGCTAGCAGATTTGATTTCCAAGTGTCTCTGTTGTATTTTGTGGGACTTCCCATGTACATTCGTAAACCCAAGAATGGCGTATATGATTCGATTCCCAGAAAATGGACAGCTGACTTGCTTCTTGGAAGACTATGGCACAAAATGACCTTCATTAAGGCAACTATTAGCCAATTTTCCTATTTGCTTTCTCTTTTCATATGCCTGCTAGCGTTGCAGGTGAGTTTCCTTTTGAATGTTGCAATGAGGGAAGGTGATGTTTGTATTAAAGATATTCAAGTGATTCAATAATGAGTTGTTATTACATACTTGTGGAGGATTATGGAGGCTTGTGGATGGCTGTGATTTATGTGAAGTATGAGATATCTTGCCTGTGACAGGGTACTTCGACTAGTAGTATGTGTGGATTGAGTTCATATCTTGGGTTCACTAGGGGTGGCACTTGTACCAGATTTTGGTCCCTTGTTTTGTGTGGTGATGGATTGTTGAATCACCTACCCTACACTCTTCAGGCTTCTTATTGATCCTCAGGCTATGTGTTAGATTATTTTGAGAGGGTATATGTTGGAGTGTTCCGTTTTCCAAGAGATATCAAGTATGCTTAGTTGATGGTATTTGTGGCCCTTATGGGTTTCGTCATGATGTTTATGTACCAGTAAGAGGCATGGACAAGAGGCTTGGGATGCTTGAGTCACAAGGGGTCTCTTTGGCAGGATCCTTCTACAGGGCTCTTAGGGGTGATCATGTTAAGTTAGTACTTTATGGTCTTGTGTGGATGGCTATCATGTATGGGTATCATGTATGGGTAATATTAGGTATTGGATTGCCTTCAGGGGAGAGGTGCTACGTTAACAACATGTGCATCATTTACAGTGAGAATTCTAAGTCCATCATTTGTTGATTCCCTTTCATTCTGCTTTCAATATGTACGCCATTATCATGAATCATTGTTGGTTCATGTGGGGCATATTCACTTATATTTTCAAGGTCTAAGGGCCACAAAGAAGGTTTGTTAGAGAGGTTCCATCAACAGGCCAATGTTATTAGATTGCTTAATTTGGCTGAAATCTTGGGCTTGGGCCTCTAACAAATCCAATCCCGGTATTCTGTATATACCAGTAATATTTTTAAAATATCAAAAAATTCAAAATGTAAGAAATATGTTCAATATGTTTAAAGTTTTGGAAAGTATATATCCGATATATTGAAAATATATTTGAAAAATGCCTACTTTACATTAATTTTTTATAAGATTTTTATTTATTAAAAAAAGTCATAAGTCTTCCCCTAAATTGGCCAAGGAGCCATAGTGCTTATTTTCACCAGCCAAAATTAATAACCATCTGAATCAAATATAATAACATTGAATAAGTCTAATTTGTATGCCATTACAAGGCTGAAATTTAGGGGTATTCGCTCCTTTCTAGAGAATTAAAGGTGGTGAATCTAGGGTCATGAGCTTCCTTGAGAAGCTGCCAAAGTTTATCTAACCCAAAATCTATGATTCTTTTATGGAATTTCTCATGGCAATCCTGGGCTGAGAGGCTCTTGAGGGACTTCTTATAGATGCCAAGGGTTTTTCTTTGTTGACTTATTTGGGACTCGTCACCTTTTTTGATTTGTTCTGTGTGGAAGCTAAAGCCAACGTGTTCGGTCATATGCTTTGTTTTGGTAGAGTAGACTCATTATGGAGAGCATGTGTAGGGTCCTCGATACCTTTCTGTTTGTTGCATATTCTTTGTGGAGAACTGTTATCTAAGTGCAAGTGCATGTTGATGTATCTTTCTTTTCCATATACTTGGGGAAGCCAATGCTGAATTGGAGTCTTTGGAGAATTGCAGTGTGAGTTGATATATTTGTATTTTGGGGGTTGATGAGATTCCACCATGACATCTGTCACTATCCAGATCCTTTTTTGTACTTCTCCTGTGACATTCTTAATAAAACCTCATAATCCTTGGACTAGACTTTTGAGAACATTAACTCTGGTGAGATCTGTATGACACCAACAAATGGCATCTCATATACAGAGTACTTGGATCATACATGTGAACTACAAAAAATGCGGGAGTACTCCACTCACTGACAGGAAAAATTGGGGTTGGCCACCCACTGCAGCCACCTTGGCAAGTGAGTCAGTGGAATGTGTTGGCTTCAGGCCATGTGTGCGGAAAGTTACTTGCACTAGAAAGGTCAAATATGGTGTCAAATAGTCTCTAATCTCCTTGGGCATTAAACATATTAGATGCCTAAAGAACAACTTGTTTGAAATTCCTTTGACAATTGAGGAATTTCCCCGAGCAGAGTATAATTGCTCGAGTGAGCCACAGACTTGGCCATTGTTGAATCGACAATGCCAATGTAGCCTAAAATTGGCATTAGAACCTGGCCTTAGGCTTTTTCTAGATTCCCCTAAAGCCAGCTGATCCCTGGGTTTCCTAAAGTGCAAGCAACCATCAATATTGAGCATCATTGAGTGGTCAGATGTCTCGAAAGACTAGATTATGAAATCCTCGTAGGTCTGAAGATCAGGAGGGCCATCAAGTTTGCCTCAGAATCCTCCACTTAGAAATGCTCGAGGTGTTTACTTCCTTCAGCCCAATGATTTTTGGGGCCTTCTGTCTATTGAGGATGGCTTGTAAATTTGCTCCCCCCCGCCCCCTTCCCCCTGAGCACTCAAAAATATTGTTCTCTAGGAAAATGACCTAGATTGCAGCCATAGCTGAGGCTCTTCGAAGGATTAGGCCTGCTGAAGGGTAGGGGGAGAATACATGGCACAAATAAGTTCTTGGACAGTTTTAGGAATCTCCCATTACCAGTCAGAAGCTTGAAGCAGGAACCCCAGAATTATCTGGCCGCCGTACAATGCAGGAATAGATGAATAGAGGTCTTTTCTGCTGCCTCGCAGATGATGCATCTGTTTGACAGTTGTACTACCCTTTGCTGATCAACTGTATGTGCTCTTCTTGATGGCGCTAATGCTCAGGTTTGGGGAAGAAGGGAATTGGGAGTGATTGAAAGAGGAAACAGGAAACCTTCCTGACCCTATTGGTGACCAAATCACCCTGTTTTTACTACTTCTAGCCAGGGAGCTGTAGCGAACATGGAAACTCGGAACATGTGGATGTCTGTTCACACGTAAATGTGGATTGCTGTTCCCTGGGGAACTCCGGTCCTGCAGGCTGCGGTGGAGTAGTCTTCAGAGATGAACAAGGAAAGACCACAATGTCATTCTCAGGGTATTGTGGTCTCGACAGTGGGTGAAACCATCAAAAGGTTCCAATCTCTTGGAGCACAGGTACTGGGCTTATAGTTGAGGGAGACTCCTAAAATGTTGTCAGTTGGGCATCCAAAACTGCCCATTGTCCTTGGAGATTACAGTCCCTTTTTATTCTCTTTTTGTAGGCAGATAGAAGTGACCTTCCAACACATCTGGCAGGCAGCTAACGACGTTGCTGATTCTTTTACCCAAGGAAGGTGCAACAGGGAGGCAAAGTAGTAATGAGTAGCAGGTTTTTGGTTCCTTTTACTCATGGGAGGGCTCATCTCACACTTTTTTGGAACAATGAGAGTGTACATCCCACAGTTTATATAGGCCCAACTTTGTGATTCCTTACCCTGTAGTGAGCACTGGACCTGAGGGCTGCCATTTTCAACATTTATGTAACTCATGCATAATATAAATACAGTCGATGCTTTCAAAATAATAAAAGAAAAGAAAGCAGAGAAAAGAACAAAAGGGAGAGCAATATTGAGCTCCTGAATTACAGAATCGCTTACGTCCCTCCTAAAGGTTGGGTTCCATACTTTGACCTTCCTGCCCCCACAACACCCCCTGATACCTCATAAGATGCCTCCACTGAAGTATTTGGGCTGGAGGCTGCTTGCAAGGAGTTTGGCCATACTTTTCCAGCGAGGAATATCCAAAACACAAATCTTTCCAGAAATGATCTCTGTGATCCTTTATATATGACCCATCGTTTGAGCTATGTAAGGCATTCGAAAGCCCTTCTTAACACTTCATAACATTAAGTGGATAACCTTCTACAACATGTGCTTCAGAAAAGCCCCCCTACCGAATTGAGAGAGAATCTCAATGCCAATTGGGAGTGGCCTTTCTCCTGGCCTATTATAAATGTGCATGCCTTAGGGGGCGGTGTTTACAACTTCCATCTTCATTGCTGCCTTCTTGTTTCTTCTTTGATTGTTTGTTCATTTCTGTTTATCGAGTTCAGCATATGATGCTCACAATATTCCCCATGTGTGAATAGGGACTAAGGTGTCCTTTCGCCTGTTGTTGTCCTCTTTATTACATCTCTCTTTTTTCTCTAAATCCTCTTTGTTGTATGACTTGTATTATATATTATTTGATGCATACCATTCTTTTTAATTGAACATTATTGGGGTCTGATGTTTTTTGATGTGATCTATTTCTACTCACAAGTTGTCGTATTAATGACGATTATGGGATTGGATTTAAGATTGGAGACCTGTTCCATTTATCTATCATTTTTTTGTAACTGGTTACTCTTGACAATTGGAATGAGTTCACTTATCCATTCTTTCTTGGATTGGCATCTGGTCCTTCTATTGTGGAATATTTCATTTCCACTAAATAAGGGTTCTATTATGTTCGTTGATTTTAGCTTCTTGCACGAGACTCTTGTGTTTCACATAAAATGGTTTCTTTATTCTGACTTGCGTTACTCATCATGGCTAAACGGTTCAATAATAGTTATATTAAATCCATTCTTTTTTGGTTTAGGCATGAGATTCTTGTGTGGCACAGACTTGTTTACTTTTTGCATGTTTGATGGGTTCATTGTGGTAAATTCTGTTGCAGGAGGAAATGCGGTGCTTTTATATGCTTCCAAGTATCATGATGTTGACACTATGGTTAATGTTAGTGGGCGTTTTGATTTGCGTCAAGGAATTGAGGGTCGCTTAGGTAAAGGCTTCATGGAAAAGATCAAGAACAGCGAATTTATTGATGTCAAAGACAGGAATGGTAAGTGCTTGTTATCATGAAAGAGTCCTTGAGAAGGGAATTTCTTCATAGTATAAATGAGGTTTTAAATATACAGAAAATACATTCTTATATTTGCAAAAATTTATTTTGAAACTTCTCTCAATGTCCTACTTGAAGCATTATTGAACTACACTTGGATTCATAATTTGATTCATCTATGAAATCCATTTTTGATAATAAGGAAGTATGAGCAAATTTTGTCTGATAGATGATCGAATCATGAATAAAATCTTCAGAAGTCCAGTTTATTCATGTGTAAAAGAATACTCAATGCATTGACATGGTTAAAATTGCTTGTTTTCCAAGGTCAGACTTTTGAAGTTAAACTGAACCCAAGATAAGCATTCGACATTCTATATAAGGGCCAAACAGGCATTATAGGCAAATAAAATTGACTTGTGATGTTTTATAGAACGGCCAAACAGTTCTACAGCATCAGAAAATCAACTCACTAGTTTTCCCAAATTGGCATCTTAAAACTCCCAAGTTTTTTGGATATAATTTTTTTAAAGCTCTTTACTTCGTAAGTGTGCCCCATCTTGTGTAGATATTTAATTTATTTATTTCTTTCTTATTTTTTTTCTTAACGCTTCCCAAATGAATATGCCCTTATTTTTCTTTTGAAGAACCTCCATGTTCTGGCTATTATTTTTCACAATAGTTGCATGGGCATTCATCTATAACTTGTTTGATATACATTACGAGGAAATCAGATTCATTCACTTCTTTTACATTTATAAATTGATTCATTGTGATTGACAAACCATTTGATCAAGTCCTTGATTGCTTTTCTTGTTTAAACTTGTAGGGAAATTTGACTACCGTGTTACAGAAGAAAGCTTGATGGATCGCCTAAATACAGATATGGGTGTAGCTTTCTCCATGATTGCTAAACATTGCAGGTTCAATTCCAGTTCTTTCTTTGGCGCCCTTTTATGTATCCTATGTGGTTGTAATAGCATCATACAGTTTAGATTTGGTTTAGTTTTCGCATAACTGAATAAAAGATTTTTAACAAGATCAACACACACACATGGGCCAGAGAAGTCTCTCATCAAATACTTGGAGATTTTCTTCTTTTTATATGTAGAGAGAGAGAGAATATGAGTCCATGAGAGAGCGGGCGGCCTCACCTCGAACACTTCGGTCATCTTCTTTTTTAATTCTTATATGTATAACGAGAGCATATGGGTCCGTATGTGTGTCTAGGTATGTGTGTGACTGTGTGAAAGAGGGAGAGGCCACGTTTCAAACACTTGGATGTCATGTTGTTTTTCTTCTTCTCATACGATGAGAGAGGGCATATGGGCCTATGAGCAAGAGAGAAGGGTCTCAAGTAGTTAACCATTTTTATAGGCCTTAATTATATTTTTAATTTATAAAAGGGCTTCCACTTTTTTCTTCCCCCCTTTTTTTGGGCAGCACGTGGCGTACATGGGTTTGGGGGCTATAATGGCCCCCAAAGCCCTTTTCCCCGTTTGCATCGGAAAAAGGTACCTTTTTTCCTCTTAGCATAAGGCCTTTTTCCACCCTCGACTGAGTTGCATTGAGGCACCAGCACCGCCTAGGGTGCCTAGGAGCAAGATCGCCTAGACTGCCCAACTAGGGCAATGCCTCGGTGTTTTGAGAGCCTGGCTGGCAGCCAACTTTTTAGCCTATGAATGAGATTATTATGTGCTTATCCCCATAAATAAATTACCCATTTTCCAATACATAGAGATTAGCTTTCAAGATCAGGTTGCAAAATTCTCAGTTTACTAGTAAATCAATGAGTTTTATTCAGAGATTTGATTCCCTATGACCTGCAGTGGTATGAAGTTCACCACCAAAGTCACCACACTGGGTATCCTTTCCACGCCATAGGAGCTGTAATGGGTAAACTATCCAACGTAGGGAAAATTGGAAACTATGTTGAACATGAAGCAGGTATGTGGGCATATCTAGAATCATCTTAATCCACTTACGGCTGTAAATTGCATGAGTGGCAATTCTTCCACTTGAAACAGTGGCACTGCTAATCATATATTAGGGTTAGAAGTAGGACCTAGGCCGGACTATGCTGGTCTACATTGTTTTTTGTTATACGCATGTTTGACTCTACAGGATTTTGAATTAGAGTAAATTCGTTTAAAAACAGTATTAGGATGGGATGGATTTACAATATGATTGGTTCCGTTGGATCTACTAAGAACAAAGTAAATCTTTGATAGCATGTGGGGATGTGCTTGTTGATATGACCGAACAAAAAACAATGAGCTTTAAAAAACTTGAGGCAGAGAATGGCATTAGTGCTCGTGTCACATGTATCATAAAAATTTTAGACTAATAGGAAAGCAGAACTAGTAAAGATTCTTTACAATATAATCTTAAGTGTAATTCTGTTTGGTTCAATCATGATCTTTCATGTTTTATTCATTTTTTGAATCCCCATTTAATGCATGGGCATGATTGAAAAATCTTGTCCAGTGTCTGGACCATTCATGGCACAAAGGATGAAATTATTCCCGTGGAAGATGCTCTAGAGTTTGACAAGCTAATCTCGAACCATAAACTGCATATAATAGAAGGAGCGAACCATGTCTATTCCTCTCATCGGTCAGAATTAGCATCCACTGTAGTGGACTTCACAAAAGCTGGTTATCAACCAGAAAACCAGCAGTCAGAGCAAGTACCATCTTGTGCAAGAACAAGATTAATTTTGTCCAGAATTTAATGCAATTATAACCATGGGGATCGAATTACAGTGCAATTATAACTTGATGGAGTGTTTGATTATACAGGTTACAGATGTTAATGATCAACGAGAAGGTTAATCATTTATTGACAGCTTATCAGCTGGAATGAAAGTGTATAAACTACTTTTTCAAGTACATGTTGCTTGAATTGCCATTATCAAGACTGCAACAATTGTAGTTCCTCAGTAATACTGTTCACAGGTTTAAATGATATTTGTGTATTTATTGCAATGGGCAACTGTATCCTCTAAATGTTATAATAGGGTTGTAGTAAATCCAATGAGCGCAATTTTAAGCTCTTGACTTAATAGGGGAATGATCCTGTGTATGTGTACCAGTTGCTGAGACTTTTGCATCGTCCATCTTGAACTCTCTTCTTAAACTCTCTCATCTAAAGAAAGTCATTAATTGATTCAATTTTATTGATTTTCAACTAATTTTCTGTTTACTATAATGTCCTTCCCTTTCCCCATCAAATCTTTCCTTATCATTTTCCCCCTAACTCTGTCTATTGCTTTGATCCCTTTCTTCCCCTTTCTCTCTATTACTTTTCTCCTCTCTCTCTCTGGGATTAATAACGGAGGCAAGGCTAGAACGCCCGTTGGGAAAAGAAAGGGTAGGGTGAAGGCAGTGTTAAAAGCTTGTAAAGGTGAGGCATCAGCGGGTAGTATTGATTGCTAGGGTTTTGGAGGGATGATATGCTCAGAAGGATGGGATCTTCCAACTCCTCTATTTAGCTGCCTTGCCTTTTGTTGAAATTATCTTTCATCTAAAATATTGCCAATCTGGTGATTTGAGGTTTGCAGTTAAGAGGGCGGACACATATTGCAATAGTAAAGTGTACTCTCATATCTGGAGAGGATGTGGGGCAGTTGTTTTGGAGAGTTGGGTTGTTGAGAAATATAGTAAGGTGCATATCTATCTAGGAATAGGTAGGCTAGTATTGTCAAGCCTCATGACGAGGTTTCTAATTCCATTCTCACTAAAAGGTTGGGCTCAAATCCCTTGTAACTTATCATTTTTTTTAAAAAAGAGCTTGGTCTTAATTGGTTAAACGCGTGACTATTTGCAATGTTAAGTTCTAAGCTCAATTCCTACCTAGGGTAGGGGCCTCTCCCCACTAATTCATTGGAAAAAAAAAAGAAAAGAAAAAAGGGTCAGGTCAGAATATATCTTTTCCTATATTTATTAAATATTTTTTAATTCAAAAATATCGTCAATACTAATGATCTAGAAATATTTTCTAATCTTATATTATTTCCTTAAATCTATTAAGCAAAGAGAAATATTTCTATACTTCCTCTATAGTACAGAAGATCTATGTTTCCCTTACCTTCCAGCCATCCAATTTTGATCAAGAGAGCCACTCATCGTTTGATCTTTTAGATCTGACATCTCAAAATATTTTATTTTTAGTTTTTTCTTTATACAAATTGTATGAATATGACGTTTGGTACATGCCATCTTCTCATTGGGGCACACTTATAAAAAAATATTAAAAATAATTTTTAGATAAAATATAATGACCAAAATACCCTTTGAAACATTTTGTTTTGTTGAAAATATGTTTTTAATATTTTTTTTCTAGTGCGAGATTAATAGAGGATTGGACATACAAATTTGGTGTCAAAATAGTTTATAGAAAAAAAAAAAATAGTGTAGACGTAACATTGTGATTGGGGCAATCTTAGCCCTCCATTCCGAATGAAGGGTTGGATAAGGGAAAGTATACAAGTTTTATGCTGTAGGGGAAGCATAGAAAGCTTTCCCCTAAGTAAATCTACCTATTTTCTATGATATTGATTTCTAAAACATAGAGATTGATGTGCTCCTTTTTTTGGTGCTTAGAAATTCAAAATAGAAATTGCTTATTTATTTATATGCACAACCCGGGAAACAACGATGAAAATAAGTCCGAAGGACCACATGGTTCGAAATGAATCTATGTTTCATTTGAAAATTCGGGGTGAGTTACTATCTTTTTCTTTTTCTTTTCCTTTTTTCCTCTCAAAGAGAGAAGATGTTGACAAAGATCCCAATCTCTGTAGACTCAAAATTCATTGAGAGGGAGCAATATACATAAAATCATCCTGACTTTAAGCTCTTTTTGTATTAAATTTGCATTTGAATTTTTTAGTGACTTTTATATGTGTAATGTTGGTTTTTTAGTTTTTAGTATTTTATTTTATTTTTTTTGGGATTGTATATTAGAGACCATTTATCTTTAGTACAAGGAGGTCACAATTAATCCTAGCTATTAGATGTCCGATTGGATGGCTTGGGGTGTATCACGAAGTTCAAGAAATTTTTTGTTGGGCTTTGAGTATAGTCACAAGTACACTTACAACCAATTGATTTGAAATTTGATGGACAAAAATGGTTGTAACCTCCTTGTACTAAAAGTAAATGGTCTCTTTGTATACTTTTTCTTTTTTTCTTTTTGTGCTATTAGAAAATGTTTATGACCAGATTTTAGTTTAAAAATTATGATATTTGAATATATATTAAAGGTTACACTTAATTTCTATATAGATAGGATGTTGATTTTATACTTTTTCTAATTTTAATTAATAACTTTACACTTTCATAAATTAATTACAGCTAATTTTTTAACAAAATTTCTTGCTTTATCAACAAAGGTCGTGTACTAACTTTGTTTCGTTTAGAGCCCGTGTAAATAGGAAGAAATTAAGAATCTTAGAGATTTGAAATCCAAGAAAATCTATAGTTTTTCGTATCAAGGATTTTGGTCTTGGATTCCTCAAATCTCTTGTTTATGTAAACTATACAAAATTCATGGATTCCACACAATCATTTCCATGTCCAATGTTTGGTAACAAAATTTGATACAATCTCTCTATAAACTCTAAACTCAAAATTTGGGGTAGTCTCTCTTTTAAAATTGTGAGATAGTTTCTCTCTAAAATTTGATATGATTTGTCTATCTAAAACTTTAATATGCATTCTCTCCAAAACTTAAAATTTGAGATAGTTTTTCTCTCTAAAAAATTTGAGATAGTTTCTCTCTT